TTTTTTATTTATTTCTAGGAGAGAGAGAGAGACAGCGTGAGCAGGGGAGGGTCAGAGAGAGAGGGAGTCACAGACTGAAACAGGCTCCAGGCTCTGAGCTGGCAGTCAGCACAGAGCCCGACGCGGGGCTCGAACCCACAAACCGCGAGATCATGACCTAAGCGAAAGTCGGACGCTTAACCGACTAAGCCACCCAGTCGCCCCTAAAATGTGTATTTTGTGGGCACCTGGGTGGCTCGGTCAGTTAAGTGCCTGTCTTCAGCTCAGGTCATGATCTGTCCCACAGTTCATGGGTTCGAGCCCCACATTGGTCTCTGTGCTGACAGCTCAGAGCTTGAGCCTGCTTCAGATTCTAGGTCTCCCTGTCTCTCTGCCCCTCCCCCACTCACACTCTGTCTTTCTCTCTCAAAAATAAATACCAAAAAAAAAGTTTTAATGTGTATTTTGCTGTAAGAAGGTACAAAAGTATACAAAGTTAAGGCTTCAGAAATCTCACCTCTTTCCAAATCCACTCCCTCCAGTTTGCTGTTACTTTATAGAACATATACTGCATATTAAAAATATTTTACACAAATGGAATTATATGATCCATAACCTGCACTTTTTAAAACAACTATATATTTTGGACAATATTCCATGCTAACCGATTTATACCCACTCAGTCCTCCTCAAGGCTGACATCAGTGGTTCTCAATTCTGCCCACATATTAGATTCACTTGGGAAACTTAAAAACACAACCAAAAACGCAATGCACTTCAGAGTGAGGACCTACACAAGTTTTCTTAAAATATCTGGAGGTAATTCTAATGTGCAGCCAGGATTAGGTTTCCATGTGGCCAAGTAGGACTCTGTGTTGTATATATATATCTTAAATGTATTTAGGCAATACTGTTTTGATGGATAGTTAGATTGCAAGGTCCATTCCCATACCTGGATACTGTCTATTTACCATGCTTGTGAGTAAACATATTCTGTTCACTCACTTTTTATAAAGAGGTTAGTTTTGACCAAAACTTCTCTGACAGAAAGTCATCAGATTAACCTATGGTTTAAACATAACCCAATATCAAAACCCTTAATATTTAAAATTATTCCACACAGGACTAGCTACATAATTTGTGAACCCCATACAAACTGAAAACGTGAGCCCTTTGTTTTAAAATTGTCAATAATTTTGGGGTACCCAGGTGGCTCAGTCTGTTAGGCATCTGGCTTCGGCCCAGGTCATGATTTCATAGTTCGTGAGTTCGAGCGAGCCCCACGTCTTGGGCTCTCTGCTGTTCCCGTTTTCCATGAAACTGAAGCTCAGACATGTTAGGTGGATTTTCCCCAGATCACAATGAAACAGAGCCTGGATTCGAGCCTTCTATCTACCCGACTAAAAGGCCATGCTTTTAATCTTAAATATAGAGGAGAGGGTAGAACACCATGTGAAGACAGAGCAGAGACTGAAGTCCTGTGTCTACAAGGGCTGCCAGCAAACCGTCAGAAGTGAGGAGGAAGGCAAAAACAGATTCTCTCAGAACCTCCAGAAGCAACCCTTAAGTCTTATTTTTAAAAATTGTTTTAATATTTTAATATTTAATATTGTATTTAATATTTGAGAGAGAGAAACAGAGTGCGACCAGGGGAGGGGCATAGAGAGAAGGAGACACAATCTGAAGCAGGCTCCAGGCTCTGAGACGTCAGCACAGAGCCCGATGCGGGGCTGGAACCCACAAACTTCAAGATCATGACCTGAGCCGAAGTCGGCCGCTCAACCGACTGAGTCACCCAGGTGCCCCTCGACTTCATTTTAAAAGAGATTTCCTTTTATTAATTTTCATAGAACCAATGCTGCTAACACCTGGATTTTGGATTTTTGGCATCTACGACTGTGAGGGAACAAACTTCTGTTGTTTGAAGTCACTCCGTTTGTGGCACTTTGTTACAGCAGTCCTAGGACATGAGTACACCGAATACACTGTACCTCTGTTTTGAAAAAATTATGGGATGGCCAGAAAAGATGGGGATGGTGATGATCACAAATACTTGCTGCTATCATGCCTGCCATCCCCTCCACCCAATACTGACTGATGACCACAGCACACTGAATGCTTGCACACAATACTCTGAGATACCTGCACACCTCTCTCTGCTCTGCTTGGTATGCTTACCAAGAGTCAGTCATGTTTGGTCCCATTCTTCTTGTAATTTTGTACTTCAGTTAAATATTATAGTATCTATTTTTTAAAAAGAGGATAATTTTATTAAAGGTTGTATGTTAATCCATCTTAGGGTAGAGGTTGTCAAAATAGGTTCCAACCCAAGATGCCTTGAGGCCAAAAGACCTTGAACTCTACAGACACACACATCTATACCCATTTATAGAAATAGGGTAGGGTAGAAAATAAGAGAACTCATTTAAAGAATGACCACTATTTTCTAGGTTCCGACTTTGTAACCTGGTTTACAAAGGAGCTAACCAAATAATTCCCAACAATTCTAGCCTAGGTACACAGGGTGCTCACTGAATGCTAATCTCTCACCTAGAGCTTTGTACACATATCTTTTAAAAATGTTTAATGTTTATTTTTGAGAGAGAGAGAGAGAGAGAGGGAGGGAGACTGAGAGCAAGGAGGGGGAGGGGCAGAGAGAGGGGGAGACACAGAATCTGAAGCAGGCTCCAGGCTCTGAGTGGTCAGCACAGAGCCCAATATGGGGCTTGAACTCACCAAGCAGGGATCAGGATCTGAGCCAAAGTGGGATGCTTAACCATACTTAAGGGGCTGAACCACCCAGGTGCCCCAGAGCTTTGTATGTATTAACTTGATTAGGATCAACCCAGCCAAGGAAAAAAGAAGTCAAGTTTTAAACTCAAGTGGTCTGGCTCGAAGAGGCTATTCATTTTAACTACTATCAGCAACTGCCTCGCCCTCAGAGTATATCACTTGCACCAACTCGAGGCTTCTTTAAACCAAGAAAACGTGACAAAGCAGCAACTGCAAAGGAGGAGGGCCCGAAGGTAAGCTGCCAGACTCCTGGGCCATTGGAAATCCCACCCGGACCACCTTCGCCCTCTTTAAGCCACATTTCCCTCATCCCTTACGCTCGTCTTTGGACTCACTGCTTCCATTTCATTTTCAACCTTGTTGTTGTCTTTTCATTCCTTTTTCCTATTTGGGGGTGATCTTCTTGAACATTAGACTCCAACCCTGACTTTGCAGGCCCACGTGTTTTCGGTTTCTTCACCCGAGGGGCGGGGCAAGCCGAGGCGACGTGCGCGGTAGCGGCCGCACAGCCTCCTCCCTCTTACTCCTGGCTGCGCGTGTCCCATCCGGCTTGCCGTCTTCGCGGCCATGGCTGCCGCCGCCCTCCCCGCGTGGCTGGCCCCGCAGCCAGCGGCCACGACCCTGCGTGCCTTCTGCACCGCCGCATCTCTGGCCACCCGCTCTGCGATACGAAGCCAGCGTGAGTGTCTGTTGCGTCGCCTCCGGGCTTTGGGGGAGGAGAGAGGGTGGCACACGGAATCCATGATGGCCGCTGCCGTGGCCGGGGCCCCGCCGCCCGGGGGAGAGCCGGTACGTCCTCTGCTAGCCTGCTGCTGCGCCTCCTGGTAGGAAGGTCGCAGGTGTGGGTCTGACCTCTGCGGCCGTGTCGCCGGCTTCCCAGTCGCCGCTTTCTGTTTCTGGGTGCTTTGGGCGTGGCGAGCTTGCCCCTCCCTCCCCCCGGGACCCGCGCTGTCTGGTCCTCCCTTGCGCGGCCGTAGGCGCGGGGTCCCTCTAGTTATTGGGGCTCGGTGATGTTTGTTGGCCAGTGTTGAACCACGGCTTTTCCCGAACGTTAAGAGAATATACGGTTGTCCCGGAACAAACTGCAACTCTGAATTCCAGCCTTAGCCATGCCACCAAATGGGATGGCCTTCATTCAGCGGGCATTATTGACATGACCTTCATTCAAGATACCGTTCTTGCCTTGGAGGAGTCCGTAGAAAAGACAGATTTGTTAACGGAATCATACTGTGCAGTGTGAGGTGCCGTATTGGAAGCTTGAAGGGAAGAACAGAGGGGTATTGAGGAAGAGCCCGCAAGAGTCACGGACAGCTTTGTCAAGGAGGAGTCAGGTCCTGTCATTCACCAGGTGCTATCCGTGGCACCTTCTAAAGCATCTTCTAATTTTCGTATAACCAACAGGTTAGGCCACCGTCTCTCACTTTTTTTTTTTTTTTTTTTAATTTCTAGGAGAGAGAGACAGCGTGAGCAGGGGAGGGTCAGAGAGAGAGGGAGTCACAGACTGAAACAGGCTCCAGGCTCCGAGCTGGCAGTCAGCACAGAGCCCGACGCGGGGCTTGAACCCACGAACCGCGAGATCATGACCTAAGCGAAAGTCGGACGCTTAACCGACTAAGCCACCCAGGCGCCCCCATCTCTCACTTCTATAGTAGTTTCTTTACTGCTCCCTATTTCTGCTCTTGCTCTCCAACATTGAATTCTCACTGCAACCAGAGTGAAGAATTCAAAAAGTGAATCTTACCTTGCCACTCCCTTGTTCAAAATCTGGAAAAGGTTTCTCATTGCTTAAGATGTGATACATTCCTTAACTCGTCAGAGTGGCTCTATACTCGTAATGCTTGGCCCTTTTATTAGATTTCTTATTCCTTCTGTACTCTGTGCTAGGTAGTGTTATATAGGGATGTAGCAAGGTCTCTTAACCTCATGAAGTTTACATTCTTTTAGGAAATCTGACTATAAACAAAACAGTGTCAGGTGGTGATTAGTGCTGTGAAGAAAAATAAACCAGGGTATCGAGAATATGGATTGGAGGAGTACTGGTTCTAGAGCAGGAAAAGATTGGGTAGTCAGGAAAGACCTCCCTAGAGAAGTGACATTTGAGCAGAGTCCATGGGGGGGGGGGGGGGG